GACGGGGTCTCGCTCTTGCTCAGGCTGGTCTCGAACTCCTGACCTTGAGCGATCCCCCCGCCTTGGCCTCCCAGAGTGCTAGGATTACAGCCGTGAGCCAGTGCCCGGCCCAAATAAATTTTTTAAAATGAAAATGGAAGAAAGGGTGTCAGAACCATAAATAATATCAACCATGGCATTACAATAAAAAAGGATCTGCTGATACAACAGTACTAGCCAAATTCTTTCACAAACATCAATTTTCTAATCACAGAAGAAACTAAAGAAATAAAACATATTATCATATTTAGAAGTTGAGAAGTATAAACATTTTAACAAATGAATAAACATTTAATGAATTTTTTTGTAGTCAGTTTAAAGCAATGTATTAAAACATGGATGATATTTTACCACAAAGAATCGGCTTACATTTAAAAGCCCTATGACCTACAGCAGTAAGTACATAACTTGTTAGTCTAGAAAGTCAGGAGACCTGGACTAATTCACTATTAGTGAGTTACCCACTGTTAGTAAGAGGTACTCACTAACCTCATTGGGTTACCTGAAGCAGTTAACGTGGCCATACTAAAGATCTGATGTTTGCTAAAAGAAAAAGACAATTGAACTACAGTCTACAGTTCTTGTCTAATAAACATACATCTCATAAGAGTTTCAAAAGACCGTAACATTCCATCACCATCTACTGTATTATTTCTATCATACACAATTTAAACTTTATTTTCTATAGTTATGAACAATCAGTGTTTTACATAAACTGATAAATGTTCTCAAGCTACACTGGGCTCCCTCAGAAATTACAATGTATACCCCATTTGAGAATCATTGCTACCTGCCAAATCGCAATGAACAAAATGACACTGCTATTCAGATTCTGAATGCACTAGCAATGTTTCACATTCCCTCTTCACTGAATTTCACCAACAGATTACCATGTTTCAGCATTACTCATTTATACTTTCAGTGAACACAGTATTTTACTGGGTATTTGGGGAAGACCCATTCAAGACGACTTCTATTGCAGTGGTGAAGCTAAGGAAAAACTGGCAGTCATTTAACACTGCTTTAACAATATGCCATAGCTCTTGCTGTTTCTGGTAAATATGAGACCAAAAAATCAAATAATAAAGTATAAAATAAGTAGAAGATATACATTTCTGCAGATATTCTTGTGGTAGTAGGTAAGAATCAATATTTTGTTTTAAGACATGCTTTTTCTAAGACAGTAACTGAAAAAAATTTAAATTACCATGCTGCAGCACTGAAGACAGTTTGAATCACCAGAAAAAGTATAGACTTAATGATGTTGTGGTCATCCAGTAAATGGCCCTTAGTGAAAAGTAACTTGTGCAAATTGTGTCAAGTAACTACTACTTCTCAAGGACTTCATGATAGAAACTCCACAGTCAGAAAACTCTGTTAACATACCAAACCTGTTTTTAGAAAAGTCTTAATTTTCAGAGACGCAAAAATTAGATTTTTACATACTTTACATGTGTGATTGTACCAATTTTCAAAGCAATATTTATGTCCATTATTCTCATCTAATCTTCACAGAAATTCGTTTGGGTGACATGGTGAAACCTGCTAGGAATCTGCAGGTAATTTCTTTAAGGCTACATTTTCTTACCTAACCAGACCAATGTCACAGGATTATGCATAGCAAGACCAAGATTAAAGTCTATGTTTTCCATTATTCCAGAGAGCTAATAACAGCAGTAATAAATATCTGAGCTTAAGAAAAAGCATGAAAAAAAACATTGTCAAAACAAAACCTAACTATATTTTGTTTATATAGTGAATTATAACAACAGGATGATAATTCTTCTGGGGGCACAACTGTATCTTATTAAAAAAAAACACCACCCTCCTTGATGGTTAGGTTGTTGATTAGTCACTCTTAACCATTCCAAATCAAGGTGAGAACATATAAGTAAATAAAAAGGGACTATGAGGAAAGTCCAATGTCAAAAAGCCCAGCATAAAAGTGCATGCAGTGACTCATAAGAAAATCCATTAAGCACTTAGAACCTATTTATTCTGGTCATCTCACTTCTCACAGTCCTAACAAATTAAAAACTGTAATGATAGTTGATGCCACAGACAGACACAAGTAAGCAATAAGAGGTAACAGCGCAAGGGGCAGCTGTAGTTTGACCAATAATAAAGAGGCAACGAATTGCAGGATCTTCCAAAGGCATCAAGTAAACAGACTGATAACCCAAGTCATCGAGAAAATTAAGCTGCATTCAGTGAAATCTGTTTAGGAAGGCAGAAACTATATAACACATTGAGAAAAGTTTTTTGTCAAAATTATCTTAAGTTATTCTTGGTGCTTATAGTAATAAGCCTCAGTTATCGGGAAAATTCTCTCACATTAGATACATATGTATTCAAGTGTTACACATTTATTTTATTAATCTATTTTACCCAAAATCCCCCCAAAATTTTTAAGTTTTATTTAAACATGAAATAATATTTAAAATGTTGTCAAAAAAAAAAGAGCTATTAATTAGAATTTAATAAGACAGCCACTGAGGGGTTTGGGTTTGGTTCCATGATACAAACCTACTGCAGCATGAAACTGAGATAAAGCATCAGCCAGCTGTCCAGCTGCAAGTAATTTCTTGCCCAGTTCAAGATGTTTCTCAACATCTGCATTTACTCCACATTCAGCACCTAAAAACAAATTAAAAGATAATCAGTTAACTTTTCACAAACCAAAATTTAATTCTAAAAAATAAAATGTTTAAAAATATAGTTATCTGGCTCAGTCATCTACTCAGATGAGAAAAGTCACAGAAGCTGAAAAATGATAAAAAGAGACAATAAAAAACAAACAGCACTTCATTTAACAGAGTATCAGAAGCTCAAAAATACATCTATATCGACCTAATCACTGAAAAGAATATAACCAGTCTACAAAATAAAAGGGAAGGTGCATTAACACAGAAGTAGTAAAAAAATTTTGAACGATAAAATTAGAATTCCTTTGTTATGCTAGAATCTCACCTTAATGAATATTACATAATCCACCATAATATTCATGTATTTATTGAGCACCTATAACATGCCAGGCACAATTCTAGGTATTTGGTATAAGTGAATAACAGACAAAAAGCCCTGCTCCTCACCCACTCCCAGGATCAGACATTATGCTGGGAGAAGACAGACATAATAAAAAAATAAATTACACAGTACGTTAGCTGCAAAGTACTGTGGAAAAAGTTGAGCCCTGTGAGGGGGGGTCAGCAATGTCGGGGGATGGGGGGACTTACAATAGTAAACAAGGAGAGGAAGGGCAGGCTTCCTTGTGAAGCTGGCATCTAAGCAAGGCGTGAAGGAAGTAAGGAACTCACCATACAGACATCTAGGAAAAGAGCTTCTAGGAAGAAGGACCAGCTAGTGCAAGGGCCCTAAATCAGGAACATGCAAATAACTTACAGAAATAGCAGGAAGGCCTGGATGGCTGCAGCAGAGCCAACAAGGAGATAGTAGTATGAGGTCAAAAGAAGCAGACGTCCTGATTACATACAGCTTTGAACTTTACTCTTACAGAGGGAGCTATTGAGGAATCTGGAGTAGAATAACACGACCTGACTGACTGGCTCATTATCAAAGTACTGCCTCTCAGCTCTGAATCCATCCTCCAGTACCTGCACTGCAATATGGGCTGGAGTTTGTAAGCATTTCTCCTGTATAGTGCACACAATGCTTTGTCAGTAAAAGGCACTGAAGGGACATTGCAGGAAGGACACTTTCTGGGTCTGCTTGCTGCATTTTACTTTCTTTCTTTTTTTTTTTTTTTTTTGAGACAGAGTCTTGCTCTGTTGCCTGGGCTAGAGTGCCGTGGCGTCGGCCTACCTCACAGCAACCTCAGACTCCTGGGCTCAAGCGATCCTCCTGCCTCAGCCTCCCGAGTAGCTGGGACTACAGGCATGCGCCACCATGCCCGGCTAATTTTTTATATATATATATTTTTAGTTGTCCAGATCATTTCTTTCTATTTTTTAGTAGAGATGGGGTCTCACTCTTGCTCAGGCTGGTCTCGAACTCCGACCTTGAGCGATCCACCCGCCTCGGCCTCCCAGAGTGCTAGGATTACAGGCGTGAGCCATCGCACCTGGCCTGCATTTTACTTTCTTCTGGCTCCTGCTGCATGGTCTCTCATGGGAAGGACATCTGCTGCAAGGTGTATGTGGAGAAGACACTGGAGGTACTCTGCCCTCACCATACGCTCAGGGGTCCAGTCCCTCAGCCACCTGGCAGCCTTGGCCCAGGCTCCACCTCTCAATGAGGTCACCACATGCTGCAGGCTTCACATCCACAGCAGTACCCTTATTCCCCTGTACATAGGCTGACCAGCCCTGGTTCACCTACATGTGAAAGGATTGTTTTCTGCTTGCCCAGTTACTGTGGACCAGCTCTAGCATGCACAACTCAGCAAACTTCACCAGCAAACTTGGACTGCAACTATACCTTTTTCAATAAAGTCTGAACCCCAGCCTGAAGGAGGGTCCCCTCTTCCAAGCTGACCCTTCCTTCGGACTGTCTCTCAGCTCTAGAATATCCTTTAGAGTTCTCTTTACATCTTCAGTTACTCTATCATGACTTAACAATTCTTTATATTAAACTTCCTCTTTTTAAATGACTGTGTGGTTTCTGCCTCCTGAATGAACTCAGACTGATACAGAACTGGTATTGGGAGCAGTCCCAGGAGACAGGCCCACAAAGATGGGATTTGAGGATTGGTTTGGTCATGCCCTTGAGCTGGAGTGCAGTGCTAAATTCCTTGCCAATGGGAAGTGAGATGCTAGTATTCCATAGTAGGTACTGTAATCACAATTAATTAAGCTATCACTTGTGGTTTACTGGAATAAAGTACTAACTGAAGCACATTTTGAAAGCCAAAGTGGCTGCTGCACTCTACTGTAATGACGAGAAATTCTGAAAATAAGGACTGTGATGTGGGTGGGTTCTTCTGAGTGCACTAGAACACCTACAGAGAGAAAATATGCTCAGATCTAACTCTCAGCTCAAGTCATGGCCTGAGAGCTGATTTAACTGAAAATCAAATACAAAATTTAATTATGAGTCTTGCTGAATTAAAACAATAGTCAAATTCATGGTCTCACCAAGTTTCTCCCTTGAAAGTTATGGCATAGATTGGTAAAGAATGGGGTTCCTTAAATTTGGAATGGGAAAATTTGTTTGGACCCAAATGAAACTGACCAGCTTAGAGCCTCCAAGTCCTTCTGAGCCTCCGGTACCAGAAGTAGCTTGCCCTCTCATGTCTTAAGAGACAAGCCTTCCGCTGCTTAAAAACCCTACGACAGCCTTACCTAGAGCAGATGCCTTGAAAAAGGATGCTCCTCCTCCTGAAGACCCAACCTAACCACTTCCATTGTCACTAACCCATGTCAAATCTTGGCAGGCTCACGAGAAACAAGTATACACCGTAGCCGAAAGGAAACAGCTTAATACACCAAAAGAATTGCAAGGCTTTGGTGATAAATTAGCAGAACCCCACAGAACATGTATGGGAATGGATTCTAAAGGTGCTAGACCAAGAAGGGTCAAATATAATACACCACATCAGGTCTAACTCATTAATGTGTGCACACTTAACTAAAGCAAAGAGGTCAGCAAACTGCTTTTTGTAAATAAAGCTTTACTAGAACACAGCCACGTCTATTAACAAATGGGCCACATTGTCTATAGCTGCTTTCACGCTACAGAATGTAGTAGTTGTGACAAAATCTATATGGGCTGTGAAGCCTAAGATATTTACTATCTGACCCTTTACAGAAAAGGTTTGCCAACTCCTATACTAGAGATCCCACATTCAACATGTTAACTTGCACAAGATGGAGGTGGCTCTAACAACTAACTTACTTGGTTGGCTGCCTGAAACTTAGACTCAACAGTGGCCTACATTTAATTAGGCTGAGATTCCAAAGCTTCCCTAGCATGATAAGAGGGAAGGAATGTTGGACTGTATTTATTAAGTGTCACCTACACACCAAACCCCCACTTATGTTCCATGAGGAGGCCTAGAAGACACTCCCATTACTAAGGCATTGAGAAATGTGTTAGCAAAGGATCACCTGCAACCCTTTAAAAACTCTACGGTCACTCTCCTTTATAGGACAGGTATAACTAAGGGAGGATACCACCACTGAGATGAGCTTACTGATTTCAATAGGGATGATGGGATCCTGAAGTCACAGAAACTTAAGTAGTAGCACTTAACCATCAGAGACTAGGTGTGCACATCAACTGCAAAAGGCATCTACTACAGAGAAGAATCTTAATAATCAGGTAGATAAAACAACATGCTCTATGAATGTCACTCAACTTCCTTTCCCATCATAACCGTGCTTGTGCAATGGGTCCATGAACAAAGTGGCCATGGTGGCAGGGATGTAGGATATGAATGGGTTCAAAAGCAGATTAGTTCTTACCAAAGCTGACCTGGCAAAAGCTACTGCTGAGTATTTAATCCGCCAACACTGGAGACCAACGCTGAGTTCCCAATACACCACCATTCCAGGGGAGTGGGTGGGGATGGGACAGCCAGTCACCTAGTGGCAGATTTTATTTGGTTCTCTTCCATAATGGATCACAGTCTCATAGTCGGGATATGAATTTGCCTATAATGCTTCTGCTAGCTCCGCCACTCATAGACTCACAGAATGCATTAACAACCATCACAGCATTCCGCACAGCACTATATCTCATCAACGAACTCATTTCATAGCAAAAGAGGTGCACAATGTGTTCATGCCTCCCCACCCCACCTCCCCGCAAAATTTCACGGAAGACAATTTTTCCACAGATTGGGGGGAAGGGGTGGGGCAGCAGAGCTCTGCAGAACTAAGGCATACATGGGAGAGAACTGAATAAATCTTGAGAGTAGATCTCAAAGGAAGAGTTTAAACTTCAGGCTTGAATACCACCATTTGCTGAAACAAAGAAAGGGGGTGGGGGGAACCTCAGTTACAGGGAATAGGCCAGGAAAAGCACTGAAAACAAGGGTAGGGACTTCTTATGCAGATATGCAGATGCCTTCTCTATTTACTCACCTCTCTGTTCCTGGTGCAAAGAGGGAGATACCCTTACAAATAGAGATTTCTTTGAGTCTCATATTTTTGTGGGACTCCCATGTATATATGCATACACATATGATAAAAATGACTTTTTTTCTCCTGTTCATCTGTCTCATGTTAATTTAATTCATAACCCAGCCAAAGAACCTAGAAGAGGAAGGGGAAGCTATTTTCCTCTCCCAGACAGTTTGGCAACCATGAAGAGATCTCACTGGCTGGGACCCACTCACTCCTGGACAGCTGTAGCTGCAGGATTCTGGAACTCCTGAGATAAAGCTGGCCAAAGGTAAGAGTTCTTCCCAAGTCAGCCTCCTGGATCTCTGACTGCAGGGTTGGGTCAAAGTGAGAGTGGTAAGAATCTCATTGTCTTTTTCCCTTTCTAAATTTAGATTAGCAGCAAACAACATTCGTGTGAACTAGTTCTTGTATAGTAACTCTGGTATGTTTTTGGTTTGTGTACTCTTGTTTTCTGATCCCTTCCCACCCAGAGACAGTCACTATTTTCCTTTGTTTCTGTCTTTTGTGTCATTTGTCATAAGGAGGAGAATCATAGGGTGGAACACAGGCATA